TTCTCTTAATAGTTTGGATAGTGAGATTCCAGCTTCAATAGGCAATCTAAACCAGCTAAAATACCTTAGCCTTGAGTTTAATGGTCTCATAGGAGAGATTCCTTCTTCACTAGGAAACCTTTCTCGTCTCTCAAATCTTAAACTCGCGTCCAATCATTTGGTAGGTGAAGTTCCTGCTTCCATCAGAAACCTAAAGGAGCTAAGAGTCATGTGGCTTGGCGGAAACAACTTAAGTGGCGATTTTTCTATTTTGTTTGCCAATTTAACCAAGCTTTCCCATTTTAGCATCTACTCTAATAACTTCGCATCCACGTTTCCATCTGACATGAGTGGATTCCACAACTTGGAGTATTTTGATGTTAATGGAAACTCATTTCTCGGGCCTTTCCCTAAATCCTTGTTCTCCATTCCTTCGTTACAAACGGTTTATTTAGAAGAAAACCAATTCACGGGACCTATAGAGTTTGAGAATACATCTTCATCATCTAAGCTTCATAGTATTTACCTGGATGGTAACAGATTCGATGGCCCAATCCCAGAATCCATATCTAAATTTCTCAACCTCGAAGAGTTACATCTCCAACGCAACAATTTCAGTGGGCCAATCCCTCGATCTATGTCAAAGTTAGTCAACCTCCACTATCTTGACCTTTCCAACAACATGTTGGAAGGTGAAGTACCAAGTTGGTTATGGAGATTGGCGACAGTGACGCTTTCTCACAATTCTTTCAGCAGTTTTGAAAACTCTACACAAGAAACACTGGTCCAAGCGTTGGATCTGAATTCGAATTCATTCCGAGGACCATTTCCACATTGGATATGCAAGCTTAAAGGGTTAAGCTTGTTAGATCTGTCCAACAATCTCTTCAACGGCTCAATTCCTCCATGTTTAAGGAATCTCACTGATTCTCTTACAGAGTTGATTTTGCGGAACAACTACTTCAGTGGAACTCTTCCAGATATATTTTCCAATGCTACCGAGTTACTAACGTTGGACGTTAGTGGCAACCAGCTGGAGGGAAATCTTCCAAAGTCTTTGATCCATTGCAACGCTTTGAAACTTGTGAATGTGGAAAGTAACAAATTGAAAGACAAGTTTCCATCGTGGTTGGGATCTCTGCCATCGTTACATGTTCTCAGCCTCCGGTCGAACAAGTTCTATGGGCCGTTGTATCATCGCCACAAGTCTATTGGGTTTCAGAGTTTGAGAGTCATCGATTTATCACACAATGGCTTCAGTGGTACTCTCCCGCCTCACTATTTTTCCAACTGGCGTGAAATGACCACATTAAACGAAGAAATGAATGAAGACACTGATTTTTCTACAAATTATTCGACAAATTATTTCCATACGATGGAAATGGTGCTTAAAGGAGTAGAAATGAATTTTGAGCGGATCGAAAAAGACTTCAGAGCCATTGATTTGTCTGGAAACAGAATTTATGGCAAAATCTCTGAATCCATTGGCTTTCTGAAGGAATTGATTCTTCTCAACTTGTCGGGTAATGCATTCAGAGGCGATATCCCACGTTTCTTGGCAAATTTGACAAAGCTCGAGTCATTAGACCTCTCCCGTAACAAGCTGTCAGGTCAAATCCCTCAAGATCTTGACAAACTCTCATTTTTGTCATACATGAACTTCTCCAATAACCTTCTCCAAGGTACAGTGCCACGAGGCACACAGTTTCAAAGGCAGAAATGTTCTTCATTCTTGGACAACCCTGGACTTTTTGGTCTCGAGGATATCTGTGGAGAAACCCATGTGCCGAATCCTACACCATCACAACAACCTGAGGAATTGTCAGAGTCGGAGGAACAAATGTTCAACTGGGTTGCTGCTGCAATAGCCTATGGACCTGGTGTTTTCTGCGGATTGGTGATCGGACATATCTTCACGTCACACTATCAAGAGTGGTTCACAGAAAAGTTTGGTCGAAAGAGTCACCACAAGAGCTCGTTAAGCCTATCACTTTTAGCGTCTCCAATAAGCATTTGTGAATCATACGTTGTCTAAGTCTTGTTCTTGTTTGTACTGAATTTGCCAGGTGTGATCTACAAAAGTCTCG